ATCAAGATCTTCAATAGCATCTCGCATGGGACCTTGTCTCCAGAAATACCTTGGTGGCCCCGCCAGTACAATAGTCATACGTCGAGCCCGAGCCTTTGACATCTGATTTTGGATACGCTGACAATGTGGCCCTGCCCGCTTACCAGGCAGCCTCACATACCAGTCGGCATGTGCTGCGACCCACAACAGTTGGTAATCGCCCGAAAGTAGCGCGCCCAAATACTGTGTACCAGAGGAGGTCATCACCTCTGTATGTGTGATACGGTCGCACATGTATCCACGGGCTCGGAGTTCAGCGCAAGCTGTTCGTATATCCTCAATAACGAATGCACGAGAATGATAGTGATGCGACAATCCTTCTGTTTTCTGCAGCGGCCACACAGCCGGGTCCACTGCTGTCTGCGGCAGCCGCGCAGCCGGGCTTGCCGCGGTCCCAGGCACGCACAGCCGGTGCCTGGGAAAAGATTGCAGGTTTCCCCGCGTTTGCTGACAGCACCTGAGTGGTCGGCCTGTCCTTGCAAGCGCGAGTGGCCGTGGCACGCGCCTGCCCCCGTCGCTCGCTTGGCGAACACCACCCTCCTGATGAGGGGGTCCAAATACCAGTGCCATGCTGCGCTGCAGAACTGCTGCTCGAAGTAAACATATCAAACTTCTCGACCGTATCATTTCTTCCGCAGGTATCCCTGCATGTGTGTCAGGAGGAATGCATCTCTTCCCCTCCTCGTGAATGGCCTGATAGATCTTCGCCTGCAGGTTGTGGAGAGCGAAGTCTTTGTCGGCCGAGGTAGGGGTGGTCCCACAGGACGCATTTCCGCGATGCCAGGTCCCCAAGGTGTTGCTCACCGAAGACTGGATCGTGAAAGTGAGCGTCTCCTCGTTGATGGAAGAGCTGATGCCCTGCGCGTCTTGCGAGATCATGCGTGCATGGGCATCGCACACAGCAGGTGTCCCTGCAGTTTGCTCTGGGTCGGAAGCCTCCTTGACAAGCAACGGAGCTTCCTCACATTGAGGATTGGCCGTGATCCTGAAGGACATCGACCCTTGGTCCTCCGTAGCCTTCTCGTATTCTTCGGCCTTGAGTGCCAGGTGCCCGGAGGGCGTCTTCATCAAATCAAGTGCCCTGGCGCCCTCTCCAAGTAGAACCTTCTACATGTCCACTCCAGGGATGATCATCTTCTCCTGCCCCTGCTCGAGGATCAGGATGGTCAGCATGTTAGACATGCTCCTCACACCCAGAATAGCAGGGAGGTTCTCTCCACAGCCCTCAACCACATTTGCTGAGTATGTGCCGAGTCTCGGCACAGTAAACTCCCCCGCAGAATCTACCTTTTCTTTGCACGCGATTTTGCAGTGCAGGGATTTATCGCAAATCGCGGCACAGTGTCCCGCTCCAGACACATACAATCTTTTTGAGAGATTCAACCTTTGATGGCGTGTCCGTGGGAACGTGATATCTGCTCGAAATTCTGTGTCGTCTTCAAGCCAATGATATACTAAGATTACTGCCAGTATCCAGAAACATAATCAACATACCGTTGATCATGGTCCCGTTGTTGGCTGCAGGAACTGATTCATGGCCTTCGCCGAATAGTCCAGGGACTTCGGATACGGCCGTACCGTGTAGGCCTTTACGGCGCCGTTGCTCCAACACCCAATCGTTTCTTGACAGAGATGTAAACACATTCATGTACCCACGCGCTTCCTCCTCCGTAATCGGGTTCTTTTCGAAGATCCAAACGGTAGGGTATTCGTCATACGTGTATGGGTGTGACGTAGAAACAATGGGCAGATTCATGAACGTATTTCCTCTGCGAGTATGCCCATCTGGCCGTCGGTATTCACCATAAGTACCGTGTGAAACATGTCGCGTTCAGAGATCCCACTGTTACCGCTGCGCAAGCTTACCGGGCTTTCAGTTCTGCGCTGACTGCGTGAACGAAGGTCTCGCCCATATGGCATGTATGCGTGTGGAGACTGAAGCCATTGGGCGCTCCTATCAGTAGCCCTTTCCATGCGCCTCAACCATGTTTCATTCACTGGTACCTAAGGTGGAGCCGATCGGGCAGGTGCCCCTGCATTGCTGTCGGTCTCTGCTACCAGAGGAATGGGTGCGTCAGCGGCAGGTGTCCCTGCAAGTGTAGCTGCTTCCACCACTAAGCCCGCGTTGGCCGATGATGCAGGTATCCCCGCGGGAGTCGTCGTCGGTATCTCCGCAGTGCTGGCCATCATGGCTGTAGCGCGGTTGAGCTCTTCACGGAGGTCCCTGAGCTCGTTCGCCCTCTGAAGAATATCTCCATGACGGTCATGTGTTTCTTGATCTCCAGCAAGGGCGTAGTGGAACTCAGCAGTAATGAAGCCAACACCCCTGTATATGGCACAGGGGGCCTCACACGCGGAACCTTCCATGTTACCAGCCACCTGTCGATCCACATGGGCGTGTACCACGCGATCCCAACATTGCGCGTGGAATATGTGACCGCGCTGGAGACGCCAGATCTTGTCGTGATTCATGAACAGGTCCAGGCATATGGCACACTTACTGAAATCGCCGTCACTGATGGTAGGCGGTGTTGCCGCTGGCCTGATACGTATGTGACGCTCCAGGGTGGATTCACCAGCTTCGAATCGAATCGGTGAGAAAGTTAGCAGCTGCATCGATGCATCCATAGCTGGGCTGCTCGCAGGTGTCCCTGCTGCATTGTGGTTAGCAGGTTGCCCTGCACGGCTCAGCATTCTATTGGCCTGACGATCTTGCTGTCGGCGCTGCCGTGTGGCCTGCATGGCCAAGTTGGCTTGCTGCGCCTCGCGCATGGCCAGGATCTCAGGGCGCATCTCTCCCATGGTCGGTGGCAGCGCTAGGCCTGGAGCCTGCTGCTGTACATCTCGATCCATGGAGGGTGCCAAATACCCATAGTGAGGTATCTGTCCTGGCACACCTGATGCATATCCTGAACCGCGTGTCAGCTGAGACTGATAGAAATCGTCGGCCGTCGTCCGAAAACATGGTTTTTAGGCAGTGTTCCCACCCGAGCAGTTCCACTCACCTGCGCATGATAGGTTGGGTGATCCATTGGCGCTGCCATTGGACGATCAGCAGCTGTTGGATCGTAAATCGGGTGGTTGAAGAATGCTGGTACATAACCAAACCGATTGGGGTTGTCCGGAGAGGGATTTGGATCCGGAGCATACTCCCACGGCGGCGTCCAGTTGGCATGACGGGGGTCTATGCCATCCTTCCGCATGCTCTGGGCGGCCTCCCGCATCTGACGGTGCATCCATTCCTGCTGACCAACTAAACTTCTCTGTGTGGCATATTGGTCTGGGACAGCAGATTGCCCCGCAATTGGACGTGGTGATGCGAACGGCGATGTTGCCTGTAGAGCCTGATAGAGCTGAGGATCCGTACGAATACTTTGGAGCCTCGCCTGCAGGCTGTTGGTGCTCCCAGTACTCTGTGGGGTGCCAAATGGTGTAGTAGCTCTGCTCATAGGGGCAAACGAAGCAGGTTGCCCTGCAGGTACTGGCAGCTGTTGAACCTGGGCACGCCACGGATCATTAGCGTACAACGTATCAGTAGGCGTAATACCACTTGGCGTAATACCCGTCACATCAGCGCGCTGAGCTTGTATCCATGATCCGTCAGATCCCCCTGCAAGTGTCCCTGCGTGGTATGCGTTCATCATGCACACCTGTGAGAATACCATAGGGAGCGGTTCGGGACACTTCAAGTTGTAGGGGGTATCTGGAACAAACCAATTCTTCAATGATGATGCGTCATTGCGAACTTCGTACATCTCATCAATTCTGATACTCGTGCACTGCTGGTTGTCGTCCTTCAAATATAAAGGATTTATCCATATTTGCCCCGCACGATTGTACTGACAATTGCAACCTGGCAAGATCCCGATCAACTGGACGATGTGAGTAGGAGGGATCCTGCCATGACGGCCTGCTGTCATGACGATGTCGTTCGCCGAACGCCACACTGGGATATGGTCCCGAATCAAGTTCTTCAGACTGACCATGATCAGGACCTCAGAACCCATGCGTAAACCAGATCGGATTCTACTGTCACCAGGAAGGTATGGGCATCCATGCACACATTGCCTGCCCCTCTTCTTAATGGTGTCGTCGGCGCGACAAGATAGGCCAATGCCAAGCATATTCGGTATATGCTCCCATTGAGTACCATGAATGAAATACCGAGGTGCCCCAGGTACTAATAAGTCCGTTATCCTCATGTATAGGGGTTCTGGGCACCTGATGCCAGGGCTGCTATGTCCGTTGGACGGGCGGATGAAGTAGGTGTCGTCAATCATATCGGCGTACCTCATCTTCCTGATATGCAACCTGTTCTTGTTCATTCCCGACTCATCTATCATGCCGATGAGCTCCAAGACAGCATAGGCCTGATACGCCCAGTGACGGCTTTGAAGCAAACGACGTACCGTGTCGAGATGCTTACGGTGGTCGTAGTCGCATCCTTCTGCGGGCCATGTGTTGAGTAGCTGCGACAAATCGGCCCAACCGTCGTACTCGTCATAGGACGTAACTTCACAAATGAATCTGTCTGACAATTTACCATGATGGAATGGTTTGTGACGGAGGGCGGTTGTCAACCACTCAGATATCTCACGTTTTTCTCTATGGTCGAGCCTCGGCCTGTGGAGATTTTCCGTGACGAAGACGTTCTTCAAGTATTCCGTTTCTAAATCCAACGTGAGGGCAGTGCGTTTCCGCGGGGAGTTGCGCGCTGACTGGCGCGTGCGTGCACCTTCGCCAGCATGGACAGCTGCGTCCATGATGTTGTACTGCACAACCATGCAGCGATCAGATCCATCATCACTTCGCGGATCATATGCTGGATTCATCTTCACGCGGCTGCCTGGGCGCATCCTGTCCCGGTATTCCTTGCATTCCGGTGGGACGTCCAGCGCAAGGGCAGGTTGCCCAGCTGGACTGCCACGCTTGCAGGTCTTCTCCGAAGCTGTGATGGCCGCCTGGAGCCACGTGTTCTCCATCTTCTCCGCTGCTTGATCCAGCTCCTTATGCTCCTTTGCAAACCTCCTGGACTCTTCGAATACCTTTTGCAGCTGATCATCGTCACTGTCGACGGCGTCCCCGTTTCCGTGGCCCTCCTTAATAACCTCAGGGATCGTCGCGCCACCCTCACCCTTGCCCTTCTCAGCCTCCTCGGTCGCCAACTCCTTGCCATCCTCAGCATCATAGATCATCGTGCCCTCCTGCGTTGCCTCGCCCTCTGCCACTGGGGGCTCATCAGCAGCGTCTCCGATGACCTCTCCAGGAGGAGCCACAGTACGGGCATCGCCGCCAGCTGGTGGTGAGTCAGCTACCTGGGTGAACGTGCGGCTTGCCTCCACGCCACGCGCGATCTCCTCGCGGACACACCATGCACTTATGTTGTTCATTCGTTCTCTCGACCCAGCCCCGCCCTGAGATGTGGCCGTTGGGTGGAACAAGAGAGTGCGAATGAAGCATCTTGTCATGGTTTCAATGCTATAGGCTGGATTTGAAATTACGATCTGGAGTCCTGTGAGCGCTGCTGCTGCCACTCGAGGTTCATCTTCTCCAGAGCCTTCCGCTCCTCCCACAGCTTGGCCCTCGCGATGTTGGCCTCCTCAAGCTGATTCTTGAGGCGCTCCACGAGAGCTGCGTGCTTGTGCGCATCGGGCTCATCCTCGGCGCCGTCGGTCGGGATGGTGCTGGGCGGCTGCTCTGCTGAGGGCACGCTCTGCCCCGCTGGCTGACCTGTTGAACTCGCTGGCTGACCTGCTGAACTCTCTGGCTGCTCTGCCCCGTGAGCAGCTTCCTCGTCAAGTTGCGTGTCGCCACTCCCCATAGAGGACATCGCGGAGCGAACGTCCTGCGATGGCGCCTGCTGAGTAGAGCTGCCGCTCGGCTGCGTGTCACCTGGAGCGTCTACCTGCTGGCTGCTCATCAGCAGGAGGCGCCCGATCGGCGTGGACCAAGCTCGACCTCTTGGCGGGTGGATCCAGCCGGTTCCGCCCATGCGCCAAAACGGCTCGGGCCTCGATGGCCACGAGGAGGAGGAGGAGAGGTGGAGGTGGGAACGAAAGCCTTGGTTTGTCGTGTGGCCCAGCGTGTTTCAGTATAGCATTGGATGTCCGCTCGTTCAGAAAACGCAGCATGAATATATTATCGTTTTGTGTGTTGGCGATGGTGGGATGCCTAAGATGTCATGAATTGTGTCCTTTAGCATTGTCCTCGTCGCCACCGCAAGATTCGCACGAGCCCTCGTCGCCGCGGCTGGATTCGTTGAGCCCAACGTTATGTCGTAAATCGCCACGGCTGGACTCCCCCACGGGAGTCGCAACGGTTTGAACCCGCTGACGTCGTCGCCACGGCTTCATTGACGCGGCTGGATTGACCGACAGAGAACGTGGATTGCACGTGAATTTCCACCGAGGACGGGGCATGCCGAACTGGAAATGGAAAGAGGATGGGCGGGAACGAGAGTGATGGGCAGGAGGAGGAGGAGGCGGAGGATGAGGGGGAGGAGGAGGAGGAGAAGGAGAGGGAGGAGAAGGAGGAGGAGGAGGAGGAGGATGAGGAAAGGGCGCAGGAGGAGGAGGAGGAGGATAACACCTTTCAACGGCAGGCCGCTGGGATCCCTGGCCATCTCCGATGGACCGCCTTACATGTCCCAGACGTCCATGGGGATGGGCGGCGGCGCAGTCTGCGCCTGCGCCCGCACCTGCGCTGGCGGCTGCGCGCAGGCTGGCGGCTGCACTGGGGCTGGCGGCTGCACTGGGGCTGGCTGCTGCACTGGGGCTGGCGGCTGCACGGGATCTGGCGGCTGCGCTGGGGCGTGCTCGATAATGTTGGTCTTGCCGATCTCGGTGCCAGCTGGCAGCGCTGCATCTGCCTCCTGTTGCTGCTGCTTTTGCTTCTTGGCCTTCTCGGGCTTCGTGTCATCTACCTCCTGCTCGCGCGCTGGCCTCTTCAGGACTGTGCTCTCCTCGGGCGACGTGTCCACTGCCTCCTGCTTACCCGCTGGCCTCTTCAGGACGGTGCTCTCCTCGGGCTGCGCCTCCTCCGCGCTCGATGGCCGCTCCAGGACGCTGCCACTGTCACCTGGCTCCTCGTCGGGAACGACTTCATCGTCCTCCATCACCTCTTCCTCTTCACCTTCCTGTGCAGCTTCATCTGCTTCGTCATCAGCGTCTTCCTCTGCCATTGCCGTTTCCTCATCCTCCTCGGGCTCGGCATCCTCTTCCTCCTCGGGCGCAGCAGCTTTCTGCCTCGCCTTTTCCTCGGCGGCAGGCCTCTTGCGAACTGCAGATGGGCGTTTGCCAACGCCGCTCGCGCTGTGGCTCGCCAGCCACTCCTTCTTTGCGATCTCCATGTCTGGCTTCGTCGTGCGCCCAGCCGCATACGCCTTGAGCTGCTCGATGAGCCACGCGACGGCAGCGCTCTCGTGCTCGGCCGCCCAGCCGCCCATCTGCATCAACTGGCCCTGCCGCTCCCTGGTCTCCGTCACGCGCAGGATGCGAGGGGGCCCTGCGCGGTTCACCCAGCGAAGGCAGATCGCGCCGTGCGGGCCCTGTGCGCTGTAGAGCGCCTCGCCTGTGGCGGCCTGCTCGGCGTCGCGGTGCTCCGCTGGCGCCACGGGGACCTGGCTGCTGGAGGTGGGGTGGTGGTGGTGGTGGTGGTGGTGGTGTGTGTGTGTGTGTGTGTGTGTGTGTGTGTGTGTGTGTGTGTGTGTGTGTGTGTGTGTGGTGTGTGTGTGTGTGTGTGTGTGTGTGTGTGTGTGTGTGTGTGTGTGTGTGTGTGTGTGCGGTGTGTGTGTGTGTGTGTGTGTGTGTGTGTGTGTGTGTGTGTGTGTGTGTGTGTGTGTGTGTGTGTGTGTGTGTGTGTGTGTGTGGTGTGTGTGTGTGTGTGTGTGTGTGTGTGTGTGTGTGTGGTGGTGGTGGGTGGGGGGTGGGGGGGGGGGGGGGGGGGGGGGCATCGAGTCAATGAGGTGGAGGCGAGGATATGACCATAGAAGAGTGGATTAGGAAAGGAGGCAGAATTGCGAATTCAGAGGCAGAGGGGATGACGAGGGGACGAGGACAACGCGGAAGAGGAGGGGAGCAAGATAGTGATAATGAGGAGGAGGAGGAGGAGGAGGAGGAGGAGGGCGAGGATAATGAGGAGGAGCTCGACAGCGGAGGAAGGATGAGAAGGTAAGGGGTATGAGATCGACATTGGAAGAGACCATGACGGTGAGGAGAGGAGGGAATAGGTAAGTGAAATAAGGTAGCTGAGTAGGAACACACCCAGGAACCTCCCACTCGAAATCGTCGAACCTCGCCACGAGGTTCTTCTTCCCAGGGGCGCGCTTGGCCACTGCGAACTGAGGCGGCTTCCTCGGCTTGTCCACGGGCACGCGCCAGGCCGACTGAAGAGGGTCCAGGAAGCCATCAACCATAGTTCCTCCTCAACCTCCTCCTCCTCCTCCTCCTCTTCCTCCACCTCCCTCCCTCCCTCCGATTCCCTCCTTCACCTCCCGTGCATGTCATTCCTCCCACCGTACTTCCCTCCTCCTCCTCCTCCTGCTCCTCATCCTCCTCTTCCTCCTCCTCCTCCTCCTCCTCCTCCCCCTCCTCCTCCTCCCCCCCTTCTCCTCCTGCTCCTCCTCCTCCGTCTCCTCCTCCTCCTCCTCTTCCTCCTCCTCCTCCTCCTCCTCCTTTCTCCTCTTCCGACTGGTTTATCGCATGGTTACTGTTGCTGTTCGGAGTTTCGTTCATAGGCCCCTGGGAGGCCCCTCGGAGGCCCGTTCAGAGGCCCGTTCAGAGGCCCGTTCACAGGCCCGTTCAGAGGCCAGTTCGGAGCAATCTCGAAAGCCCTTCGGATGCCTCGAGGGCCTCTCGAAGGCCCTTCCCTGACCGTCGCTCCCAAATTTAATATAGGATGGGCCTGGATGTCGGCACTCCAGCCGAGGTAGTAGCCGTGCAGCACAGCGACGCTCGCCTCCTCGAGCGAGCCCTTGCCGCCCACTGCCGTGCTCGCTGCCTGGCTCGACGACGGCGACGCCGCTGACATCGTTTTCGTCGTCGACGTGGACACCGTCGTCGTCGTCGTCGTCGTCGTCGTCGACGTCGGCGTCGGCGTCGGCGTCGACGACGTCGACGGCGACACTGACGACGCCGTCGCACGATGAGGAGACATGATGAGAGGGAGAAGGATGAGAAGGAACATGCCATAGATGCCTCCGAACTCGGCCCTGCCGTCGAAGAAACCTCGCCCTCGTCGTCGGCGATCTCCTTCGCGGCTTTGCGGAGCACGCTGGCGTGCGGGATGGCCCACTCCGGCACGGTGGTCCTCTCGGGCGGTAACCAGCGACTCGCCGTCGCCTCCCCTCAGGCGCAGTTGCGCGATTTTCCCCATTGAAGCGCCAGGGTGTCATCGCACGCGTCATCTGCGATTACGTGTGCGATGACGCCCGCAATGACACACGCGTCGGCGCTAGAAACAAATCGCGGAGCCGAGCCTGAAGGGAGATTGGGGCGCGAGCGATGGTGGGCAGCGGATCAGATGAAGGGGGAGAAATGGAGGATGATTCAAGTGAGTCCTGGAAAGCGTCTTCTGGACGGCGCGCAGCATGCTCCGCAGCGACTTGGCGAGCTCCTCGCAGGTGCCGTCCAGCTCTGCTGAGGGCTTCCACCTGTCCTCGTTGTCGGTCGCAACCTGGATGAACGCCGCCTTGGGAAGGGGGGGCGAGCGAAGCGTGACATCTCGTTGATTCGGGGGTGTCGGGGAGTCAAGGAGTCGTAAGGTCGGGGGCTAGAGAGTCAGGGGGTCGGGGAGTTGGGGAGTTGGGGAGTCGGGGATCCGAGTTGGGGAGTCGAGAAGTCGAGGGTCGGTGAGTCGGGGAGTCGGGAATCGACCCCCCCCCACTCCCCGACTCCCCGACTCCCTAAAACACCAAACTCTCCGTCTCCCCGACTCCCCGACCCCACATCTCTCTGAGACCCCCGACTCCCCGACCCCCCTGATCCGACTTGAGGTAGCAGTGATAGTGGTGGGAAGGAGGAGGATGAACAGGAGGAGGAAGGCTGAGGATGAGGTGCACTACCCTACGTTGTGATACACTTCCGATTGACGACGACGACAGCTGCTACTGCTACTGCTACCTCTACCGTTGCTGCCACTACGACTACTGATGCTACTACTGCTGCTACTATTCCTTCTAGTGCTACAGCCTCCACCACTACCACCACCACCTCTACGTACTTAAAACTACATATACTACGATATCCGACTACGACCTGCTACGACTATCACTTCTACGATTTCTACGGTTACAGAACGCTACCACCCCCGATCTCGCCTCCTCCTCCTTCTCCTCCTCGTCCTCTTCCTCCTCCTATTCTGACGTATCCTCCGCACCCTCCTCCCTCCTCATCATCTGTCCTCCTCCTGAAGTTTCTCCTATCCCTTCTAACCTTCGCCGCTGCTTGGGCGATGCCGCCGCGTGGGCACAGCTCCAGCAACTCGATGGTCATCGCCTCGTGCTTCTGGATCTCCGCGTCGTCGACGGGCGCATTCATCGACGTGCTGTAGACAATCCAATTGTCGACGTCGTCAGCCGCATATTTGGTGAGTACCATCGCGACGGCATCGACATCCTTGAAGCCTTCGGCCCGAGGAACCCCTTTCTTCGCCTCTTTGGGCGTCATGCTTGGGGCACGAGGCTTCGATAAACCTGCCTGCCTGCCTGCCTGTCTGCCTGCCTGGCGCGCGCGCGCGCGGTTGTTGTGCGCGTGCGTGCGTGCGCGTGTGAAAACATTTTTTTGGGGGCGCGTCACCTCGCAGGTTCTTCTTTCGAACGCTTACGCCGCTCAATATGAATACAACTATCCTCTCACATCAAGTTGTTTTATCATATGCGCATCTCACATGAAACGTGCAGCTCTTTTAGCTCTTTGAGTACGGGGCTATGTTTAATACCCCGGGCTATAATAATAGCCCCGTTGTGCAGGGCAATAAAATAGCCCCTGCGGACCTCAGGGTATTCTGTTTACAGCCCGGAGGTCGTCGACGACAACGACGACGGCGACGACGAAGACGACTGCGACGACGACGACGGCGGCGACGACTACAGCTACGACGAGGACGACGACAAGGGCGACGACGACGACCACAACCACGACGACGATGGCTCATTGCGTTCGCAGCCCGGAGGTCGTTGCGCGATTTTTTCTTCACACCCCCGCTATTTTTTTACAATCCGCCATTTTTTTCAATCCGGAAGTCGCCGGCGACCCCCCGCTCTGCCCCCGCCTTCCACGGCGCGATTTTTTCTACAACCCGTTATTTGTTTTTTACAATCCTTTATTAAACAACCCGGAGGTCGCCCGAGGCCCCATGCTATTTTGTTTTACAATCTCTTCTTTTTTCAATCCGTTTTTTTTATTATTATTATAAAAAAAAGATCCGATATTACCTATGTTGCTATTTTTTCTTAAGATATTTGTTTTAAAAAAATTTTTTTGTTGAGACCCTTCTGGGTGCCCACCCCATCGGGCAAATTGCACTTGGGCTCCCCGCCGTCCCCAGGCGCCTTGTAGCGCGACTCCTGGGGGGGGGGGGGATTTTTTGGCACCCCCCAGCAAGATCGTGGCATCCGAGGGGGCGCCGAACTCGAGCACCGCCCACCCGCCCCAAAAAAGCCCCAAGAGGCCCCCAGGAAGCCCCAAGGGAGGCCCAAGAGGTCCCCAATAAGCCACACGAGGCCCCGATGAGGACCCGAAGAGGCCCCCAATAAGCCCCAAAGTGACCCGAAGAGGCTCCGCAACCGCCCAAGAAACCCCAACGAGCCCCCAAGAGGCCCTCAAGAGGCCCCACAGAGGCCAACCAGGAGGTCTCAACCAACATCCACCGTGAGGCCTCTGAACCACCACCCAGGCACGGTGGCGGATGGGCCGAAGGCCACTAGATAACAAAAGCAAGCCTTTGCACCGCGGGAAAACCAGATCACACGACACCTGCTGGGAGAGCACGGATCGCATCGGACAACAATGCGCGCAGCCCCGGTCGCTCGAATAGCCGAGCGGGCGGAATGGGGAAATAGAGAAGGCGAAGCAGGGAGAGGAGTAGAGAAGAGGATGGATGACGGAGGACGGCCGTGGGAATAGCTGCCCTCCTTCCATCCCTCCTCCCTCCTCCCCCCCCCTTCCTCCGTCCCATTCGCCTGCGCCCGTCCTCCTCTGCCCTCATCCCCCCCGTTCCCTACCTACTCTTCCTGCGACTCTCGTCGCGGGATCGGCTTCGATGACCAGGCCGCTCTCGCGCCTGAGCCACGCGTAGCTAACTCTGAAACGTTGCAGTGGCACTTGCTTGCACGTCAACATCCGTAGCCAGTTTGGTTGATTGCGTTGTCGAGACGCGCCGTGTCTGAAACGCTCAGTTGCCATTGCGATCGCACCGCAAGGCCCCGCAACCGACATCAACAATAGATCTCCCAAACGACCGCTAAGAGACCCCGATGGCCCTGAGGGTTGAGGGCCCCACGGTCCTAAGATATCCCATATCCCAACGTGCGGTTCTATGTATTCTTGCTGCGCGACACCACCGCGTCGACTCTCAATCACAAGAGCCCCAAACATGCAATCACTATGGTGGGACAGTGGGCACGGCGCAGACCCCAAACAACAATGTGGTCAATGAGGCGTTGGACTTGCCGCGTGCCGAAGATGGGCAGACTCCGCGACGTGGGCCCCACGCAGCGTCGCAGTGGACCCCAAACAGCTCACACAGTGGACCTCGAACAGTGAACATAACCGTGTCGTTTGGACGGATATTGTGTTTGTGTTTTGTGCCCTGCCACGCGGAGAGACTCCGAAAAAGCATGCGCGCGCCAGCTTGCATGAGCACTGGCGCTGCCGAGGAGGACCACCGCTTCAACCTTACATGGGCCATGGCGCCAACCGCGCGCAACCATGGGGCCTAGCAAGATGCCGTGGCTAGACCCCATAGGTTTCCGCGGTTGGCGTCGTGGCCGATGCAACGTTGAACGGGGCTGCCAGCGTGCCGACGCCGACCTTCAACTAGCCGCGGCGCTGCGTAGGGGGCGCGGACGAGGCGGGCGTGGCGGGCTTCACCTTCGGCAAGCACGTCAAGGGCTGCTTGACACAGATCACCGTCTTCTTCGTCTGGGAGGCCCTGCCCCTGCGAATGTGCACGCTCGGGGGGTCCTTGCGGTTCAGGCGAGCCCTGAATGTGGTCATCTGCTTCGTCACCTCCTTCGGGACCCACTTCAGTGTCTTGTTCTTCGCGGCGGTGCGGGGTTGAAGCAACTTGTCTTCGGTCCGGAGCATCTCAACCGTCCTCTCTAGCTCGGCCCTCGTCTTCTCGCGGCGTGGCGGCATCCCGTCAGCCAGAGCCGTGCGAAGCTACAGCTCCAAGGGAAGTCGAAACCAAATCCCGAGATGGCTTGACCCAAAACAGGCTACGGATAGTGAGGATGCAAATGAACCACACCGCACATCGTTCAGAAAGCCACGGCACCAACAGCCAGTCAGTCAGTCAGTTCGTCAACTTAGAAGTGCGGCCAGCCAGTCAGTTCATCCGCTTGCGGCTCAATCGACCAGTCAGCTCAGTTAGCCAGTTCATTAAACTAATCAGTCTTCGATGTCCTACGCTAGCTTGCATTAGGCAATTGGACTCATGACCTACAGTGTGTTAGTATCGCATGCTGGTTGCCATGATGTTGCAGTTGCTGTTCTGCGCGTTGGCGACTTGCCCTAGTTTGGTTGTGGTTCCCTTTGGGGGGCCTGGTCCAAGACGACCCTGACCAAGACGCTCCTCGCCCAAGACGGCCCAGGCCAATGCGGCCCTCGCCCTAGACCCTCGACGACCCTCGACCAATACGGCCCTCGCCCAAGACGACCCCACCCGACGCAGCAGCGACTATGACTCCAACACCCGCATGTCTGGGGACAACAACCACGGTTTCAACACGCCCACGAGACGCAGTACTGCGCCTGCGGCGCGCAGATCAAGCACGCGGGCAAGCGGCCGCGCACCGCCAGCATCCACCGCCTGCTGGGCGCGCGGCCTTGATGCGCTCGGCCTGGAGATCCGACTCCGCCTCGGTGAACTCTGGCAGCGGGTCCCGCGCAGCCCTTGACGCGGGCGAGGCCATGTGGGCTGGCCTGCAATCGCAGGCGATCCCGTCCCCCCACAATCAACCACGACTTCATTATCTTGCGGGCCTCTGCATACGGGACTGCAACTGAAACGCGGCACGACTTGGCGCAGCGCAGGTGAACCGCCAGAGGGTCTCTGTGCTCCCTGCAATTGCCAGCCCATGCAATCACGCGTTTAGGTCCCGACCCTGCGGCCATCACCTCGTGAATTGTCCACGGCCAAAGTCATGCTTCACCAGATCTGCCTCGTCGGGGTCGTCGGGCGGCCTCGGCGCGCGAGACGAGGGCGACCCCCCAGACGCGCGGCCAGGAAAGACCCTCGCGACGAGGCTCGCAAGGTCGACGCCGTCGATCTCCGCGGAGCCCAGGTCGATGGGGCCAGGGCCGCCGCTGCTGCCAGCAGCTCCGCCAGAGCCAGCTGCCTCGCCATCGCTGCCAGCAGGCGCTGGCTCGCCGCCGCCAGGCGCGCCGCCGCCAGCAAGGCACGGGGCTTCACCTGGGGGCAGGGGGCGGAACGGATCAGAGAAGAGGAACGGGGGGCGAGACTTGCATCGGCAGGCGAGCCCGACATTGAGAAGACGAGGGCGGCAAACATGCGGATGCAGGGGCTGTAAGTTTCGGGCACCGCGCAAACGAAAGGGGGAGGCAGAGTCGGGGACGAGACGAAGACGACGAGAGGACATTGTAAAACCGATCGGGCCCCAAGGCGAGGAGGGGGAAGATAACCGAGTGAGCTTGTGAGCAATCAAATTCCCCCCCCCCCCCCCCTCGCCCTCCATACTCCTACTCCTACTCCTCAGGGCCAGCCCTCCCCTCATATCCAACTACGCCCCCTCCTCCTAGTGGCCTTTACCACACCCCCTTCTCATCCAACACCAAGCGCGAACGGAATAGCCCCAACGTCGCGCAGCCCCCCCAGACCTTCCGACCCAACCACCAACACATCATGAACTACAGAAAGCCTGGCCATCAAAGATGCCGCTGATGGGGGAAGGGGCCAGGCTCGAAGGGCCAAAGGGTGCGCGGTGCTGGGCCCGTTCCGAGGCGCATCGCTGCCCCGCTTTCGACCCATCCCCGAACCTGCATCCTCCGCCTGCTCCGCCTCGAACCACTCGTCGCGCAGGCGGTCCATGGAGTCCTCGCTGGAAATGACGGGCGGCTCGCCCCCGTCGACGCCGCAATGCCCCCCGCCGTCCTCGCAGCGGCGGTCGCTGCGGCTGCCGCCAGCGCCACCCCCATGGACATCGTCGCCACCATGACCGCGGCCACGAGGGCTGTAGCAGCGATCCCCGGCGTTCCCAAAAATAACATCAGCCGAAGATGCAGAAGAACATGCGATGCCATCCGTGTCGATGTGGGACCCGCTGCATCCGTCGACGTCGCAATCAGTCTTGTCGACGTCGCTCAAGGGCAAAGGGCCCGACCTCTTCTTCCGACTCTGACCTCCTGGCCGCCCGCGGCTGCCTCCGCCCCCTCCGCCACCGCCGCGGCCCCTGGGTTGAAGGGCCGCGTCGGCGTCGAACTGGCCGCCCCAGAACTCAATCTCACGATTGGCGGGCTCCGCGCAGGGAAGCTCGTGGACGATGAAATCAGCTGGGGTCAAGCGGCCAATCACGCGGCTGCCCTTGCTGAAAGTGAAGACACGGATAGACCAGCGAACGTCCATGCGCAGACGCCTCAGCAAGTGCACCTGGTGCACAAATTCCCACGCGCCGCGACCTGGGTACCCAGGCCCGCCAGCAGCCGACAAAGCGCCCAACTCAATCACTTCATCCTTGCTTGCCAACGCCAACTTATGGAAGTAGCCGTGAAAATCTCGAGCAGCCAGCGTCTGCCAGCCGCAGTGGTACATCTGCTGGTCGATGATTCTGGGCTCCAATGCACTGGCATCATCGCACTCCAACTCCGAACGGCACGTCAACAGATAAGCGACATCAGAATTTGCAAGGCAGGGGAGCAACGTCCTCACTCGCAAGCGCTGCACCACAGCAGCATTAAACTTCTTGTGAATGTGCAGTGTGATCTTGCCTGCGTCATCGCACATCTGGCAATTGTAATGTAGCAAGCGCTAGCCCGAGATGCAGCCTTACTCTTATTCAACCTGGGGACGCTGCCATACAATATCGGCTCGTGCACGGCCTTGAAGTGGCCGATGAGGGCGGCGTGTGCTTTCTGGACAGCTCGATGAGAAACTGAGCGCGACGACAAGCCCGTCGCACACGACGCCGCAAAACAGCTCACAGGCGCAGAGTGGTGGACGAAAGAACAACCAACAGCAGCGGTAGCAGCGCAAGGCTCTGGCCGATAACGAGGGCAGATTGACTCGACCGCCTCCTGCAACTGCTTCACGGAGGCCCCAACCCCCTCAGAGACGATAGTGGCGAGGGCCTCCTCGGTCAAGCGGTCCAGAACCACTGCCCTCCGATTTCTCCGATTCTCAACCGACGTGACCTGCTTCAGCTGCTCATCCCAAGCCGTGACGGGCACAAGCCCGAGCTCGCGCACCTCCCTCGGCTCCGGGCATCCGACGAGGGCCCCAGAGGCACGCAGCTCGTCGGCCATGCGCCGCTGCTCGCGCGCGGCCCGCTCTCTGGCGTTCGCCCTCTCGACGTCCTTCTTGTTCGGGCCGAAACCGCGGCCGCCCGCCGCCCAAGCAGCTTCGGCCTCGCGGCCTCGCTGGGCGAGGTCGCCCCGCTGAGCCTGGCCGAGAAGGTTGAACCTAGCGCCGAGGCCAGGGGCGGCGCAGCCAGTTGCCGACCCCCGCGTCTCCTGGGGCACCCAGGCGCGATAAGCCCAGCTCCCCCTCATGCGCTTGCTGGGCCGCGGCGCTGCATCAGCCTCATCGTCTGCCTGCCCCACGCCGCTCTCCACCGCGCCTGCGCCGACGCCGCCAGCGCGCGCGCGCGGCGCGGCTCGGCGCTGCTGCCGAACAGCGCGGGAGAGGTGCTTGGCGCTCGCACTGGCAAGCTACGGCGAGCACGTCTGCGTGCTGGACTGGACCACGCCCCTTCGGATGGCCGCGTGTCCATCCTCGATGGCCGCGGTGTCCTCTTGGAACATGACCTTGAAACTCCAGGTCTGCAAACGCTGCTGGCCCAAAACGAGGGCCATGGTCATCCGAGCCGTCGCCTCGCCAGTACTCAGACCACGAGGACAAGAACGTGCCAAGAATGTGATGGCAAGGTAAAGCATGGAACCAACGCTTGAAGTCATCAACGCTCTCCATGTGAGCGAAAACTGCAATGTCTGGACGAGAGTGCACGTCGCAATGGCGTTCCCAGATCATGCAAGCACAGGCGCTGATGAACCTGAATGCCAGAGAACGCACCTCGCAAGTGCGGGATGCAGGAGTAATGATGTTCCAGGAACTGCCATTAAAAACAACATCTCTAACTCATGAAGCGCCTGCATCTCGAGCTGCTGAGAGGCAGCGACTTCTGCTCTGTAAACCCTGCGCCCAGTCATGAAAGCGCTCGTCGCCTGGCGTTTGCCCCACCTTCGGCCCGCAGTCGCCAGGTGCGCGTGCATGAGCTTCCAGACGGGGGCGGAGCACGCCCTGTAGACATAGCCAACTGGCAGCATGGCTGGCCACGAAATCCAAGTGATAGCGGAAGCTCTGTACCTGCGCTGATGCCCCTCAAACTTAGCCTGGGACAGCGAGAGAAACCGAATGAACTAAACAATCGGGGCCGCATCCGCCCGCGAAGCCCCAGCTCCGCACGCCACCTCCCAACGTAAACGACTGGGGCATGGCGACGAGCGCGCGGGGCTAGGGCGAGGGGGCGGATGCGGTCGCGACGTCCACGCGACTTCCCTTGCTGTCCTTCGGGTCAGCTGCCATGGACGCCTCGGCGGCGCCATCGGCCGCCCCGTTGTCGGCATCAGCGGCAGCCCGGCAGCCATAGCTGGCTGATCCGCTAGGGCCCCCCTCGAACGCGTCCGCCAAATCCTGGAGCATCGGCAGGTCCTCCGCGCCAGCGGGTGCCTCCACGGCAACGCATGGGGCCCGCCTGCCAGTGGCCTTCTCATAAAAGGCTCGGTACACACTGGAGGCCAAGCCGTGAATCGACTCAGGAAGCAGCCAGGCGTCAACTGCCTCCATGGCGTTGGTCCACCTGCCGCGAGGCAGGACGGGTGGCACGCCGCCAAACACAGCCCCGATGAACCAGCGCTTCAATTTCAACAGGCAGTGCGCGCGGGAACGGCAACAACCCGCGCGGCAATAATGCTCAACGACGCCCCGTCTGGTCAGGTCTCCATTTGCGAGCGTGCTCACAATGAAATGGCGGCGTCGGTGGACCTTGGACCGAGTCGAAGACGGATCGAAGAAAACATCCCAAACACGTGGGCGGCGCAGGTCAGCTGTGATACCAGGGCCGACGGGATCGCGTTCGTAAAAATACGCCAAAGACTCTGACACCACTTGGACAGCACACCCCAAAAACAAATTAAACGCACCTGGCGCGCGAAGGGACAATGCCCAACGAATACAACCTGTTATCCAAGCTGATACGAAATCTGAAGATCGCGCCATGATCTGGGAAACTCTGTGGACAACACATTTACCTCGATATGTATGCACAGGCCTGGTACCGCTATCGATGGCAGTGTTGGACTCGAAACGTTCTGCACGATCGATGGCGCCGTCGCCGTCGGTCGTGCTCAAGCGTTGCTGACGCTTGAACCTATGGGTGCAGGCCAATACCAGAGACGACCTGCGAATGTGTTCGGCGTAGCACTCGCCAATGCAGCGTTCGATGCAGGCTAGGGGCCGCGGCACATCAACTGACACCAGCACGAATTCATTTCCCAATGAGAACAATGCAGCAACAACCATACCACTTTGAACTATGTTGCAAGACGTTCCCTTATGAATGTCTAGCGCGACGTCGCCCGCCAAAGCACTCATTGCTGCATGGTCATATTCGAGCAACGGCTGCTCTGATAAAGCGGCAATGTCTAACAACTCTTGCTCTGAAATGCTCAAGCTGCCCTCGGCTAGGATCCGAGCGAACTGGGTCTCGTCGTAACGAGTCTTATGATACATCACCTCACCACGCCCACCAACGAACTCGACTTTGTCCAGAAGACGAGAAAATACAGCGTTGACACCATATTCACACCCAACCAGAAGAGCACCTGCCAAAACAAGTCGCTTCACGTGAACAGTGTGGGGCGAACACTTGGACTGATTGCTCTCGGCTTTCTGTGACAATATTGTGAAACCGCTGCTGCTTGGACCCAGCTGTTGACATATAAAATCAACGAGGGACGAATTTGCCATCTCAGGGACCTGTCCAGCTGCAGCGCGGCCGAACTCCCCAAACTCGACCACGCCCTGGCCCAGGGAGGAGGGCGCCGCAGCAGACCCCAGCGGCTGGCCGATGGCCTCAAAGGCGAACGGCTCTCCGCCGCCAGCAGCAGCAGGGACGAGCGCGGCGCCGCCGGCAGCGAGGACAGCATCGGCACCGACTTCATCCTCTCGCGGCTGCTGGTCGGGGCCGCCGTCGTCGTCATCCCCAGGGCCACCAAGAATGGCAGCCCATTCCGAGCCCGCCGCGACGCCAGCGTCCGCCGCGGCGTCGCTCTCGGCATCGCCGAAAATTGCAGCCCACTCGGAGCTCGCGCCAGCTTCTGGGTTCAGAATGTCGCCCCATTCTGACATCTCTGGCGTCCACAAACACAGGTCGCACACAGCACGATCAGCAAAAACAAATTTGAGCCAAAATGGTTACAGAAAGTAGACACATGAAGAACTTGTTCCAATTGCAAGCGCTGGTTTAAATTTCAAGCACTGTCAGAGGATCGGGAAGACCATGGTTCTAATTGCAAGCACTGTCCGTGATAACTACAGGGGCTCGATTACATTGTTTCCACCAGGCGCCGCCAAATCACGCTCACGCTCGAGATGTCCTCGATAAGAATCCGCCCGCAAACACTCATGCACTCGAGGCGCGTGAGACAATATGACCCCTTTCCCCCTCTTGAGACGGATTACCTCACTAATCGGGGCGTTTTTTTTTGCTTTTCAAAACCATGTGCTTTTCGAGGACCCATTGGTTCGAGCACTGTGGGGGGGTATGTGATTTGAAACGACTACTTGCCCCTACCTTTCCAAAACCATTTGAGGAGTACTTGCGCCGACCATTTCAAAACCATTCCAACACCATTCTAAAACTAATTAACATGATCACCGCTTATGCGCGCGGCTGCATCCACAATCTTGGCGGGCCACGTCCATCTCCAGCCGCGCTTGGTTTTTCTTTGAGAGCTGGTGCCGCCCCCCCCCAACATCAGGTTTGCCGTGCCGTGTTCCGTTGATCGGGGCCACTCCCGAGAACTGTTTTGTGAAGGACGTGGGGATGGTTTCAGCCTGGGCGACGGCGTCCGCCTCGTAGAAGGGCCGCCTGTATCCAGGCAGCGGCCTGGGAGGCGTCCAGGGCGACCTCCACTTTGCTTTGTCGGCATGTAGCCCCTGTGCTTCCGAATTGGTAGAGGGCGCCGTCCACAAGGGATGGGAAAGCCTTGGTGGCCTGGGGCACTAGGCGCAAAACGGGTGCGGCCATCTCCGTGCCAAGACAGACGGTGCTCCCAATGCTGAGGATGTCGGCGGAGTTGCGTGGGCAACCGTTCCCCGTAATTCGTGCCGTGTAACGAAGTGCTGGTGGTGAAGCGTCGCCTGCTATGTTGCGCGTCGAGACTGGGACGGACCAGTCGTCAGGGTCGAGGCTGCGGAGGGCCGTTTCCGCCGCGTCTTTTGCACCTCCGCTCTGGGCTGGGGCCTACGCCCCACCCGTGCGGAGCCCCTTGGTGCGTTGATGATGGTCGAGCGTCCAGCCGGTCTTTTGTTTGCCGCACATGTTCTGACAACTGGTATGGATTTGGTTTGCATGTCTGTTTTTGGAGTTGAATGAACACCGTGGCAACATCGTCAAAGACTCTGTTCGTGAGCTCGTCGAAAGCACGTGTGGCGCGGTCAAAACAGCTTGCACGGAGGGCAACGACGCACGCTTCTTTGCGAGCAAACGCTAATAATTCTTGTTCAGCAACGCGTGAGGGGCCTTGCCGAAAGAGCCGTATAGTAGTCGGGCGGCGGCCCTTGCCCACTGCTGCCGCGGCGAGTGAGGTGGAAGAGGTGGGTATCGCCCAGGATCGTTCACCAGAGCGGATCCATCTAAGTATAGCCTAGTCGCGGAGGACCCTCGAGCCAAGACTAAAGATAGAGAGAACGACAGAGGAGGGAGAGAGACGGGGAGACAGATGGGGATAGAGAGAGAGAGAGAGGAAGAGAACTTATTTGAGGACAGGTGGGTTTCTGCGAAGCGCGGTGTTCTGTTCAGAAGGCCGCCCCGTCGCCTTGCCCCCCTTGTCGGCGCCGCCGATCCTCGATCGGGCACATGCGGTCCTCCAATCCGTGCACGATGAGCATGCGCCGCCGCTCCTGTGGGAACGAAAGAGATACGGACACCGCTGCTCTCCGGATCTCTCTGGGGGTGCGCTGTAACCAGGATGCCGAGGCGGATCCAACCGTGGAGACGAGGGTCCCCGCGAGGCCCAAGAAGGCGAACACGAGGGATGAATCGGATCGGAACGGGGCGGAGCGGCGGCCAATAATTCTTCCCACGGGGCGAATCCATGTAGCGCGGTCCGCAAGGGAGGCCGGAAGGGCAGCACACACTCAAGCGGTGAAACAATGGAACGCCATGCGGTGCCGCAGAGATACGACGACGACGACGAGAGCGAAGCAATGAGATGTTCCTGGGCTCTGGGCCTGACGACGACGACGACGACGACGACGCTCTGAACCTCTCCTGGATGACGACGACGACGACGACGACGACGACGACGACGACAACGACAACGATCTCTGGACCTCTCTTGGGGGCCAGGATCCCGTGTGCTGGAAGGTCATCCTTCCTGCTCTGTGAAGCACCACAACACCACACCCAGAGAGGTGTGGCGGGGGGCGGCACCGCAACACCACAACACACACACAAGGGTGGGGGAGGCACCAGGAGGGGAAGAAACGATCCCATCAGTAGGGGGGCAGGGCCCTGGACCACATAGATCGGTCTGCTTCTTCTCCTCCCGAACTCCTCCGCTGTGAGCCTCCTGGCGATCTCCGCCGCGACCGCCTCGGGCGCGCGCTCCGGGGCGTGCACCCCGCAAGCGTGTGACGCGTGCGACAGGGCCGGGGAGATCAGGAGCGTCGGTCCGCGCCATCTGCCCTGGCTCAGGAGGAGGAGCGCGACGATGGCCAGCAGCGCGCAGAGGGAGGCACGGACAGGACAGGGCAGTCGCTCCCCTGTCAGGCAGGAGCCTGGCCAACCGCGGGGCCAGCGCGGTGGGCTCCGCGGTGCCTCGATTCACCGTGCTCTCCTCGCGAAGGCCTCTTCCGACTGGAACCAAAGGGAGGAGAATTGGTAATTATTCCGATGCTTTGGGCCGTTCTGGGGCTCCCGGGAGGCCCTCGTGGCCACGACTGGGCGCAAATCGAAAATCTGGCCAGGAGGGACCCCAGGAGGGGTCTTGGGATGGTCATGGGATTTGTTTCGAGCAAGGCTTGATTGAGGGCTGCCTTCTGAGGAGGCAGGGGGCTTCTCGGAAGAGATCGCACCCCTTCCTCAGAGTCTGCCAGCGAGGTCTCCTGAACGGCCGGAGGGGGCTTCTGAGAGGCGGGGTGTCTTCTCAGAAGGCCGCCCATCGCCCTGCTCCCCTCCGCGCGCCGCCAGGATGGCGCCCCAGCTCTCCGCCACCACCAGGTCGAGCCGCACGCTCGCCGCCTCAAGCTCTTGCAGCTGCACGGCCACGCAGCCGTCCAGCGAGTCGTGCAGCGCCAGCGCCAGCAGTCTCCACGGAGGGGCCGAGAACGCGTTCGCGATGAGCCTTCTCCCGATGCTGTTGCGCTTGTCCGGCCTCACGATCCCGACGGACATGTCGGGGCAGCGCAGGCCCTCCCCGTAGCGCCGCTCCAGCCAAGAGAAGCTGCCGCTGCGGGGCCCGCCCATGGGGTGCATGAAGAGCACCAGGTGCCCCGCCGCGGTGGGCCCGCTCCAGCCCCGCCACCCGAGGGCGCAGTGGGGCTCAGACGAACGATCAAGCAGTCCCTAACCGCCCAACTGCATAACTCTGCGCGCGCGGGCATGAATGTTGGACGTCTGCGGCGTTTGGAGCTGCCAAGACGGGGATCACGAGGGTTTCGACGCGCTCCCCAGAACCCCAGACCCCAGCATGCGAAGCATGATGGAGCCAAGCCAACATTCTCGCCAACGCTCACGTGCACCGGCCATCCGTCGCTATTTTTTGATCTGGCCAGGGCCTGGCGGACCGTTCTCTGCCCCCCAGCGCTTCCCGTAATTACCCCCTACGCGCCCTGGCTTTGCCAGTGCGCGGCGCTCCCGGGCTCCGACCCCAACCCCCCGTCTCGCGCGGAGACCGCGTCGTTGGGCAGCTCTCGGTGGGCATCCTCCCTCCGCCCTCCTTCCTCCTCCGCCCCCTCTGTCATCCCTCCCCCTCCTCCTCCTCCACCTCCTCCTCCTCCTCCGCCTCGTTGTCCTCCCCATACCTCCGACGCCATAATCTCTTTCAGTGCGAGGGAATCCGGGGACCTGTCGACCCCACGGCCTGCGTGTCGCATGGAAGACGCGCCGCTGGGCCACTCTGCCGTCGGCCCCCGGGTCCTGAAACGGGGCCCAAAGCGAAACTCCGCTCAAAGACGATCACGCTTGGACAACTCCTTGGTCATTTCTGGCCCGTTTCCCAAGCCGCATCTGGCCGTGGCGACGGGGAGGTGGGTACATGCCACAAATTGCCCCCCCCGAAGGCGAGGGCGAGGACCAGAAGATGTCGCCGCCCCGATCTTTTCATAGCGCTGGAGCCCCCCGCGCGCGGGGAGAGGAATAATGGACGAAGAGGAGGCAGGAGAGAGGAAAAGGAGGTAGGAGGTACGGGTGGAAAAGGAGGAGGAGGAAGAGGAGGAGGAGGAGGAGGAGGAGGAGGAGGAGCAATCCGGGCTCAGCGGGCCAGGGCCGCCGCGGCTTTGAGGGAGCTCGTCGCCATCGGAGCCAGCCGTGGCGCGGGCGGGCGCTGCTGGCTGCATTTAGATTCGGAACCTCCCGCTCGAGCGGACGCGGCCGCGCTGATCCTCGTCGACAAGCGGAGCTGTTTCGAGTGTTTCATTTGGATTCCGAAGATCCGCCACAATGCGTGAGCGCTAACTCGGTGCGAGTTAGCGCTGCCTCGATCGAGTCAGGGCTTGCGCTCCGGAATCCCGGCAATGGCGGCTCCCGGCGGCTCCAGCGGAAGCAGCCCCCAGCGGCGGAAGCCCCGGGGCGGCGTCTCCCAGCTTCGGCAGCTCCCGCTGGCGGCGGCGGCCCCAGCGGCGACAGCTCCCGCCAGCCCCCGCAACAGCGGCCCCCGGCGGCGCCAGAGGTTCCCGGCGGCCCTCCCTGCCACAGCGCGATGGCGGCTCCCAGCCGCGGCGGGCGAAGCAACGGGTTAGTCAGCGAGCGAGGCAGCGAGCGAAGCAGCCAGCTGCTCCTGGCCCCGGCTCGGCGACAGCGGCGGCGGCTTCTGGCGCCCACTGGGGCCCGTCAGCGGCGGACCCCAAGCTTGGCGACGGCGACTTCTGGCCAACCCCAGCCGTGGCGCGGCGTTTCCCTGCGGCGGCCCCGCTCCAAAACAATGTCTCGCCGCTCCATCACGACCTCTCGTGGCTCCATTACGACCTCTCGCGGCTCCGTCACATACACACGCCCAGTCAAGTCAGTTGGGTCGTCGTTTTGGATCAGCAGCGCCCCGCGTCCTTCCCACCTTCCTCCTCCCCCTCCTCCCTCCTCCCTCCTCATCGTCATCGGCACCATCATCCTCATCTTCATCAGCGTTACCACCCTGATCATCAACATCAGCATCATCAGAAGAAAAGCCCCGGCCTTCGAGACTGCCGACCATCTAGCTCGCGACGGGACCCAGCTGCAGGAGCAGCCCGAGGCCCTAGAGCCCCCTACGCGCCGCCACGCTGGTCCGGGGCAGGCTGTGCTGCCCGGAGCCCAGAGGGGGAAGATGAGGGGAGAAACGGGCAGGCAACAACGAACGCGCAGGCGGGAGGCCAGGGCCAGTCGGGCGGGGGAGCAGGCAGAAGGGGGGCTGGGCGGAGACAGCAGGCAGGAAGCAGGAGGAACGAGAGGGATCATCATCAGCATCATTGGCATCATTGTGGTCATCAACGCCATGATCATCAGGATCATCACCATCAAAGCCACCACCATCACCATCACCATCACCATCACCATCACCATCACCATCACCATCACCATCACCATCACCATCACCATCACCATCACCATCACCATCACCATCATTACCATCACCGTCAACAGTATCAGCATCACCATCATCCGTATCATCAGCAGCAACATCGCCGCCATCAGTCACGTCTCTCACACGCTCCGTGGCCCCGTGAGGAGCTCCTACTAAGGCCCACATGCCAAGGTTCACATGATTTCCCCCTCTAACTTCGGCACACTCAGCACACGCTTCGTGGCCCCATTATTGTGAGCTCTAACTAAGGCCCACATGAATTCCGGCTTCTCAATTCGGCACACCCCTCACACGAACTGTCGCCCAAAAGGGAACTCCAACTAAGGCCCAAATGTCCGGGCACGCATGAGTTCCAGCCTCTCAATTCGGCACACCCCTCACACGTTTCGTGGCCCCATCGGGAGCCCTAACTCAGGCTCACACGCTAAGGTTTCATCAGCTCCCGACTCATATTTCGGCACGCCCCTCACACGCTTCGTGGCCCCATATGGAGCTCTAACGAAGGCTCACAGGTTTCATAAACTCCAGACTCCAATTTCGGCGCACCCCTCACAAATTTCGTGGCTCCAAGAAGATCCAACTAAGACCCGGATGCCAGGGTACACACGAGCTTCCGCCTTTGATTCCGACACACACCTCACACGTTTCGTTGCCCCAGAGGGAACTCCAACCAAGGCCCAAATGCCAAGGTTCAAATGCGCTCCCGACTCCCATGTCGGCACACCCCTCACACGCTTCGTGGCCCCCTCAGAGAGCGCCAACGAAGGCCCAAATGCAAGGGTTCGTGTCCCGATAGGGGGTCCCCAAACTAAAGCCCAAACGCCCAGGTTCGCTTGAGCTCCCGCTTCTCATGTCGGCACGCCCCTCAAACGTTTCCTGCCCCCACACGGAGCTCAAACCAAATGAAGCCCAAGTGACAAGGTTCGCACGGCCTCCCGCCTCCCATGCCCGCACACGCACACACACACACAAGCTTCACACGCTTCGGGGCCACACAGGGAACTCCAGCTAAGGCCCACATGCCAAGGAGGCTCCCTCCTCTCATCCCGGCACGCTCATCCCACGTTTCGTGGCCCCATGGGAAGCACAAACAAAGGCACAAATGCCAATGTTCGTCTGAATTTCCGCCCGTCATGTCGGAACACCCCTCACGCGTTTTGTTGACCCATCGGGAGCTCCAACTAAGACCCGAATGGTTCGCATGACGCCGCCGCGCCCTTGTCGGCACACCCCTCACCGTTTCGTGGCCCCGTGAGGAGCTCCACCCAAGGCCCCAGTCAGGGAGCTCGCACGCCGCCGTCGCACCCATTTCGGCACCCCTCGCATGCTTCGTGGCCCCATAGGAAGGCCCCATGTTAGGGTTAGAATGGTGCCGCCGCACCCATTTCGGCACACCCCTCACGCGCTTCATGGCTACATAGAAAGCTAAACCGAAGGCCCCAGTGAGAGGGTTCTCGTGGCACCGCCAAGCCCATTTGTGCACACCCCATCACACGCTTCACACCCACATACGGAGCTTCACCGAAGGCCCCAGTGGGAGGGTTCGCATGGAGCCGCCGAGCCCATTTCGACACACCCCCTCACACGTTTCGAATCCCCATAAGACGCTCCACCCAAGGTCCCAATGAGAGCGTTCGCGTGGCGCCGCCGAACAAATTTCGGCACACTCCTCGCACGGTTCGTGACCGCATACGGAACTCCATCGATGGCCCCAGTGGGAGGGTTCGCATGGCTCCGCCGCGCCTGTGTCGGTCGGCACACCCCGCACGTTTTTCATGGCAACATGGAAAGCTTCACCGAAGGCCCCAGTGGGAGGGTTCGCGTGGCGCCGCCGAGCTCATTTGGGCACACCCCATCACACCCCATCACAATGGGAGGCTTCGCATGGTTCCGCCGAGCCCATTTCGACACATCCCTCACGCGCTTCGCAGCCCCCCTTCTTCGTCTCACCTGCCTCGCGATACTCGCAGCTGCATATTGTTGGGCCATTCGCCAATTATAACAACACCGTGCGAAAAAATACAACATTTTCGCAACGCCTTCTTTCCAGAGGAGCGAGCGTCGAGCCAAGGTTCCATCTACACACACCCAGCCTGACACGCGAACGCAAGGGCTGCTTCTACGTGGAATTCAACCAAATAAATTTCTTCAACCACTTGACAAATCAACATACTTTCGCGACACCCTCCGCAGAGGAAGGAACGTCAAACCAAGACTCAATCAACAGACGCCCAGCCCGGCACGCGAACAACAAAACACGTTGTAGAACAATTATCCCGGCAAAGCAACCTAACAGCGATGTGTAGAAGCATAGCTGGAAACATTGCCTGTGGTATTCATGCAAGAGCGCCGTTGTAGAATTCTAGTGTTTTCGAAGTCGCATTCTGATTCGCAGTGGCAGTCGCAGTGGCAACATCAGCGGCAGTCGCAGTGGCGCTGCCAGTAGTTGCAGCAGCAATAGCTACACTAGCAGCAGCAACAGCAGCAGCAGCAGCAGTAATAGTAACAGTAGTAATAGCAGTAGAAGTAGTAGTGATGGTAGTAGTGGTAACAATGAAGTAGTAGTTGTAGTGTGTGGAGTGAACGAGTAGGAGCGATGGGAGCAGAGGTCGTAGCAGTAGAAACACTGCTTTCGATAACGGTATCTCCAAATGAGATCTTTGTATAAATGCATTGAGGTCTAAACGAGACACTGCTATCAACGGATGTGATTCCAAACGAGACACTGCTATGTTCGGACGTTCCTTTATTTCGCTTCGGTATCTGGCCGAACTGCTTCACGTGCTCGACGAGCGTTTGCAGAGGACCGCTCAATGCAGCACGCTGAGGAGCAGCGCTGTTCCCTGCCGCAGGCTGAGGAGCACCGCTGTTCAATGCAGCAGGGTCAGGAGCACCGCCGCCAGACCGAGAACGATCAGCATGTCCTGGCATGAGGGTGCGCAGTAGGCGCTGCGCAGTTCCTTTGAAAGGAAATCTTCGAAAGCAGGGCTGTAGCCAAGAAGGCTACGGGGACGATGATGATGATGATGAAGATGATGAGTCTTGGAAGTCTGGGAAGTGGAAGAGCACGAAGTGGCGTACAGTTGGCTCCGGGCATTCAAAATGTGGCCCGGGAGTGGAGTTCTGGGAAGTGGAAGTTTTTTTTTACAGCGCAATATTTTGGAGAGGGGGGGAAAGGGAAGGTCAGGGAACTCGCAAAGCACCACATATCTCCAGTCCGACTGCCAGCCGCACGCAGCCTCACACAGCCTGCCAGGCCCGATACAAAACCCTGGACTCGCACAGTGAGGAAAATGCAAGTGTCACGGAATCGGTGCATCGAGGCAGGACCATTTGCACGAGGAGGAAAAAAGAAACGTCTTATTCGAATAAGACGAAAGGATCATGGCGCTGTGTGTGCATCACTCCCCATATATGGTCCCATCGACCACTGATACAATGAGGCCTCACACAACGGCACGAGAAAGGAAGACTCGCCATGCAAACTAAGTTAAAACTCATGCGGCAGCATGGCTGATAAAACATATCCCCGGAATCCGATCAACTCAGAGGCGGAAGCGGGAGAGGAGGAGGAGAAGAGGAGGAGGGAGAAAAGGAGGAGAAAAATATGGAATGGACGCCAGGTCACAGCCCAGGGCTCCACTGGCGGGCCAAACGCCCCAGAACAGTACACGCAGGAGCAAGCAAGGAATCACATTGAACGTCTAGGTATGTAGCATACCCGCGGCGCGCCGAGGCCACGAGAGGCGTCCACCCCCGCAAAAAAGGAGGGGCCGAGGCATCTCGGTGGGCGGGCGCCCCGGGCTGGGCACAAGGCCCGCCTGCAGACTTAATCAAACCACTCACAAGACCGACCAGCGCAGGAAGAGGAGGACGCGGGAGGCGAGGGGCGGGGAGACTGAGCCCAGCATCGCTACCATCGGACGCCCCCCCCCCAGAGGGGGCCACAAGCCCCAAGAAGGCAGGACCGCCCCCGACGGCAACGACGACGGCGACGAAGACGGCGAAGGCGGCGGCGGCGACGACGACAACGGCGGGGGGAGAGGGGAAGAGGAAGGAGGGAGGGGCCGCAAAGGGGAGAGAGGAAGAGGAGGGAGGGAGGAGGCCGCAGCAGCAGGAAAGGGGAGAGCGGAGCGGTCCCTGCCACCCGAGGCGTGGGGCCCCCAGGGGGAGGCGGTGGGGCGGACCAAAAGTGCCACTCACGGCACTTGGCCTGTCGTGGACGAATTTTGGGGCTAGCCGGTGGCCGTCGTACTGTTCGTCGTCGCGCCGCTGTAGGAGGTGTCATTGCAAACGTCGTCGGACCCGGCGGGCTGTCCGCGCGGCAGCCGCATCGACGCGTGGTCGTCGTAATGGGCGGGCGCTGTCGCTGCCTTGACATACCTGGCGGAGCCGAGCCCGACAGGCCTCGTGCACAAGTTGGTTCATGAACTGCTTGATGTATGCTGAACGGGCCTGCGCGCCCCGAAACCTAGGGTCGGATGTGGTTGACTGTTCGATATAGCACATATGTAGAAACTGCTTGCAGACAGAGAGCTTGGTCGTCCATGTCAACGCCCAAGACCGCGTGAGCCAGGCGGCGATGAGCGACGGAGTGCCCGAGGCGCGATCGCTGCCAATCGAGCCACACAGGGCAATGAAAGTAATGTTCAACATAATCACAAGCCGTTGTGCTGCACCCCAGAATGAACGGGCGCCGGTTGTCTCGTAGGCTGCGCATGCGCCGGTCCGTTGTCCATCTGTTGAAGATAGTGCTCAATGTCGCTGCACAGAGCCTAGGCGGCACCAGCCGGCGCAAGCGGACCAATTTGCGCACCGCCCGCCGCGCCGACCTCCCGGGGTAGTCGGGGAGCCGCCACCGAGCAAGCCGTGCGCGCAGGCGCCGTTCCACGTAGTATTTGTCTTGCGCGACCAAGCGCTCGGTCATCCATCTCTGCATGCCCTTCTTGAAGCGCTGGTCCGCCGGACGTGTGAGCGGCCCGACAATTGCCCCTCCCAGGGCTGATCTGGCGGCATGAATGTGGACTCCCTCGGCCGCCTGCGCATCAACCAATTTGGTAACCACAGTCGGAGTGTGTTGAGCGAACCATGGAAAGCAGCATCCTCGCAAAGTCAGATGATCGGCGCGAGCCCGCGCCTCTGTCAACTTACGTGTCACTTCTTTCCAGGGTATGCCTCCTGTGCTGCGGGCTTCCCACGCGTGTGTCCGGAGCATGGCAGCTTGGTAAGAGGCGCGCAAGTGGCGCATCCGCGCTGAGAGACCCAACTCCGAACCGTGCTGCATGTCGGCTGGCGTGCACCACCATCCAGGCCCAGGCGCCACCTTGCGGACGGCGGCCGCTTCCATTTCCAAGACAGCCTGTGGAGGTGCTTCGAGTTGCGCAACAAATAGGAGCACCGGCAAGACAAACACATTATAGGTCATCATAGCCAAGTGAAACCCCAGTTCGCTCCGAGTTCTGGGAAGTGGAAGAGCACGAAGTGGCCTACAGTTGGCTCCGGGCATTCAAAATGTGGCCCGGGAATGGAGTTCTGGGAAATCCAAGAGCACGAAGTGGCCTACAGTTGGCTCCGGGCATCCAAAATGTGGCCCGGGAATGGAGTTCTGGGAAGTCGAAGAGCACGAAGTGGCCCACAGTTGGCTCCGGGCATCCAAAATGTGGCCCGGGAATGGAGTTCTGGGAAGTCGAAGAGCACGAAGTGGCCTACAGTTGGCTCCGGGCATTCAAAATGTGGCCCGGGAATGGAGTTCTGGGAGGTCGAAGAGCACGAAGAGTGCGACTGTTTGCTTAAAACGAACCCGGCCCTGAGCCCGGCCCTCGCTGTCCGGATGCCGCCCAGACCTCCCTTCTGAGTCATCAGATGCTCTCTTTTGACACCACTAGAAACCTATCAGTCTTCGCTGTTAGGTAACAAGAATAATTACACTATTTCCGCGACCCCCCCCGCAATAAAGACGAGCATGAGACCAATGTTCCGTCTACACACACCTGTGGGCGGAGGAGCAAGAGGAGGATCTCTGGACACCGCTGGACCAGCCTAATGCTCCATAAATCACCAGCAAATATCCTCCCCTCCCCTCCCCCTCCACCTCCTCCCTCTCCCTCCTCATGCAAGTCCTGCGCAATCTCCCGGATAAGGCGCTGGAAAGGCAACTTTCGGATCAATAGCTCGGTGCTCTTCTGGTACTTTCGGATCTCGCGCAGGGCGACCGTACCTGCGGCGTAGGAGGCCTACGTGGCTTCAGCCAGACGCATCCCGAAGTCGTCGGCATTGCGTGACAGGCAATCCACCTGCGCGCGACACCTGCGCGCGAGAATCATTTCTCGACGTCGGCGGCGCTCGCAGGAGCGAACACGGAGAGCACGGAGGCTTCCGACCCCTCGGGGGCACGAAATCTGACGGAAGCCAGCGCGGCCCGCCAGAGCGTCGCGTCCAACATTCCGAAGATGATGAGGCTCAATCGAAGTTTCCGCTCTCGCCGCCGCACTGCCACGGTCGCACATACTATCGCTGCTGCTGCTCTGGGTGTCATCGCAAAAATGTGATATCTGCTCCTGGAGGGCACTACTGCTGACGGGAGACATTGGCACACCCGAAACTTGCACTTAGCCGCTTAAGGAGGGGGATGCGAGCATGGCGCCCCGTGCAGATTCCCATGCCGTGACTGTTTCCTACTTGAGGCCTTGTTTGGGGCCCTCTTAAGATGCTCAGGAAGGAAATGAGGAGAAGGAGTAGGAGCAGGATAAACGAGAAAAAAAACGAGAACCAGGGGGCAAGAGGATGGAGGAGGGCAGCAGTAAGACTGAGGAATATGGTGCAGAACGACGGCGGGAGCAAACGAGCAGGAAACGACGGAAGAGCAGGGAGAGGGAAAGAGAGTGGACGTATTGCAGAAAAGGGAGAAAGGTGGAAGCAGGGGGGAAATTGAAGACAAACTGATGGGCGATGATGAGCGAAATCTCATGGTGACCCCAATTGACGGAGGACGAGAAGAAGATAACGTAGACAACCAAGAGGAATGAGGCAGGAGTGGGACGGACGAAGATGGCAAACTTATGAGAAAGGGTGGCCGTCTTGAACTCCTGGGCAATCATGCGCTCGAGTTGTGGGCCGTAGGCCTCTAGGATGCTCGTTGGGATGCCGTTGGGAACCTCCCTGGGCTTCTTAGGGGGCGGTTTGAAGCCTCTTGGAAGCCGTTTTGGGGCCTTTCGGGGGCGTCTTCGGGCCCCTTCGGGCCTCCTGGGGGCCTCGTGGGGCGGAAAGCTTGGATTTTCGGATCGTGTTCCCCCTCTTTGGCTCTTCTTGGAGCTCTCTTTTGGCCTTCTTGGGCCATCTTGGGCGCCCCTGGGGCCGTCTTGGGCGCCGATGGGGCCGTCTTGGAACCTTTTTGGGCCGTGTTGGAGCCCTCCTGAGCGCCTCGTGGGCCGTTTTGGAGCGTCGGGAGCAAGAGAAATCGAGGACCCTCAAATCATTGAAACACTTTCGGGGGAATCGATGATTTTGCCCTCTTGGGGTCCTTTTGGGAAGGCTCTTGGGGCTCTCTTGGGTCGTCTCGGAGGCTTCTTGGGCCGTTCTGGGACCATCGAAGGCGTCTTGGTGAAATCTCTGAGCGTTTCGGGGCCATCTTGGACCGTCTTAGGGGGCCTCTTGGGGCCCGCTTGTTCCGTTTCGGGGCCCTCTTCGGTCCGAAACACTCGTGCGACAAGACGCGGGGGCCCCTGGGAGATTTGACAAGTTTGGTTCCGGGCCGCTTGCAGACTCTTCAGGAGTGCCCTCAAAACGCGACGGCGGATATTGCACATGGGGTATGTATGTATGTATATATGTATGTATGTATGTATGCATGCATGTATGTATGTATGTATGTGTATATATGTATGTGTGTGTGTGCGTGCGAACATTGTGGCGTTATATATACATACATATATATATATATATATATATATATATATATACAAACACCTAGACGGCTGTGAAACCTCGCCTAGACATGCTAATATCAGCAAAGCTCTAGAGTCATATTGGCCACAACCTTTCACTCTGAATTGCCCCCGGACAGGTTTGTCCAATAGCAGCTCAGGCCTGCTGCGCAAGAAACTGAACAAGATGAGGAGAAAAATCATATCGCCTCTGAGCCCGTCGCAGAATGCATCCAATTGCGAGCAAGTGCGCGCAGGAGCTCGAGGGCGGTCTCAGGGCAGGTGAACTCCAGCCACCGCATTGCGGGGGTTTGCGGTTCAAACGAGCGGGCGAGGAGTGGCCACATTCGCGTCCACGACTATACGCGCCCCTAGACGGCTTTGAGACCTCGCCCAAACACGCTAATCTCAGCGAGGCTGTAGCATAGGATTGGCACAGCTTTTCGCTCTGAGTTGCTCCGTGGAAAAGGTTGTCCAATAGCAGCCCAGGCCTGCAGCGTGCGAAACTGAACCTGATGAGGGGGGACCTCTGAGCCCATGTCCAGCATCGCGAACTGGTGGGCCGTGCAACTTGCGAAGGCGGGCCAGCAAGTCCCGAGGCAGTCTGCAACCTCTGCGAGCCGCCAGCTTCTGCTTTGCGATCGGTATCTTGCGAAGCTGCTGGAAGAGCAGGGCGCCTTTCTCGTGGCGGGCCACCGACGCAGATGATGCCCATCGGCCGCGTTTCTGGATATTTGTTAAGGCCCCCCCCCCTCTCCGCCTTGTCGTTGGAGGCGCCTGAGTGCCAGAAGACGCGGGGGCGCATCCTGAAGGCGGCGCAGCCGTGGCGATCGGCGCTGCGCCTGGACCTCCCGCTCGAACTCCGAAAGGGGGAGCGCGGGGGGCCCACGGGGGTCGGCCGCCTTGGGCTGGCGGAGGAGCTTCGGCGCATTCGTCGGCCAGGGGCGGGGCGCATCGCCGATCAGCATGCAGTCGCCCTGGCCGCCAGTCTATGTCACCTCGCCCCACCCGGAGGGCCCGGTGACGATGCCAAAGTGCACTCCGAGCTTCGCGGCTGGCGCAGGCGGCAGGATCTGGCCCTGCCGCAGCTCAACCACCGCGGAGGGTCGGATGCGCGCGTCTGTCTGGATGGCCGCCGCCACGCCCGCCAAGGGTAGGTCGTGCTCCGCGAGGTCCAGCGCGATGTCGTCCACTATGATGTCGGGCAGGGGCAGCCGCATGCGGTCAGGAGAGCGCTTCGCCCAACCCTTCAGGGAGGACGGCGCCTTGGGAAGGTCAACTTTCCTGGTCGTCTTGAGCCGCGGGGGCCTGTGCCCGTGGAAGGCGTTCCCGCCCTCCCAGACGCCGAAGCCGTCGTCGAAGAGATCTGCGAAGTTCTGGGCCATGCTGTTGCCCAGGCGGCTCTGCGGCTGCAGGTCGACCTTCTGGGCCTTCGCGTAGACCTCGAACTCGCGCGCCGCCGCTGCGCGCCGTTCGAGCGCGGCATTCGCGACCGTCGACATGACCAGCGTATCCCGCCTCTGGGCGCGGATGGCCCCCACCCGGCGCGGGGCGGCGGCCTGGCGTGGCCGGCCGATGCCGGGCGGCGGCTGTCTGCCAATGCGAGTGGGCCTGCCAGCGTTTGGGGCGCTCGTCCTGGCCGAACTGGATCTCGGGGTTCTCGCCAAGGAAGACGTCGGAGGCCTGGCAGCTGTCGATGGAGAGCCCGACGTTCTGATCGCGTAGCGCCTGTCCAGCAGCCGCTGGCTGACGGCCCGCTGCCCGGGGGAGGTCATGCCGAAGCTCCTGCGGATCCAAGGTCAGCGACTTGGCGAGCGCGCTAGCAGGGGGCGCGGTTCGAAGTGGTCAGCCCAGCATGAGCCCAACGATGACGGATAAGCTCCCGCTGGAGTAGTGAGGCGCCCGCGCAGCATGGCCGAGTGCATACGCGGCACGTAAGGGCAATCCCCCGGGCCTCTCAGGGCCTCCACGTTCGTCAATATCCGAATGGGTTTCCGATGAGCCGTGCCGAACATACCCATGTCGAAATTAACCTCGATGACGTTGGTGTGGCCACGAAGCCGAGCGATGGGGTCGAAGTTCCACAGCCTTGAGGTCCTGGGGTTCTCGACGCTCCAGTAACACCCTCGACGTGAAAGTACACGGCGTAAAGTGGCCGTGCACAGTGCGAACTCCACCCCCAGATGTTCTTTAGCTCGTGCTCGCGCGTGATTATTGATCCCCCGTCGCGCGATACTACAGACGACAATGGCGCCCCGCGGTGAACGTGCAAGACGGCCCCCGCGGGCCAATCCAGCCATGTAACCTTGCGTGCTTCTCCGAGACAAGTCGAACTCCCAGCCGCCCTTGATTTCCACCGGATCAGCGAAGGCCAACCTTTTTGCAAGCTCGAGATAGACGCTCGAAGCAACCGAAGAGCTCCAAACAAACACTTACTTACGTGGCTCGTGCTGAACTGCAGGGCAGGAAACAGATGGCGCAGATACCAATGAGGTGACTGAGGAGGAGGAGGGAAGCTGCGAGTCGCACCCCTCAAGTCTGACAGTTCAGCTGCCGCGCGCGGCGCGCCACCTGGAGCAGCACGAGCGCGGGCGGGAGGCAGGGCAGCCGCGAGCTCGCCTGTCAGGTGCACGCGCTTGGCTTGCCTGTTTGGTATCCCACCGGCGGGGGTCTGGTGGCTCGGGTTCCGATCCGTCTCGATGTAGCGGAGGCGCCAGACAATCTGGCCTCCAAGGCGGTAGGCCGCGGCGCGCCGACACAGCGACTGCAGGCCCGCGCTGGAGCGGCCCTTCTCGAGGGCCCCCACGGTGACCTGGCTTGCGCTGAGGGTGAGCAGCTTGGAACCAAACAGCTCCGCGGTGCGGCAGTGCCGACGCAGGCCCATCAGAGCCACGCGGGCCTCCTTCAGGTTGACGTGCGCCTCCTGCTCCCGCCAGCGATCGGCGGCGATCAGCCGGCAGCGCCGCCGCCTCGCCCAGCCGTCAGCCAGGCGCGGGATCCCCGAGCCCAGGGAGACCCTGACCCGAGGGCGCGGTTTGTGGCCCAGCTGAGAGGCCAGGCGCGTCGCCACGCGAGTAGCCCAGGCCGTCGGTCATCCGGTCATCCAGCAAGGGGGCGTCTCGAAACCGCCAGTGTTCCCTCCACCTCCAGGCCTCGCGCAGCTCGTCGATCTCGGCCTTCGCCGCGCGGAAGGCGGAGCCGCGGGTGGAGGAGTCGCCGCAGTCGGCCTGGAGGGAGTAGGTAGCCCCCAAGTCCATCTCCATCAGGAACAGCAGGTTCATGGCGCAGCGGATCTCGGACTTGACCGAGGGCCGCGCCCGCTTCGGCGCCTCCAGGGCCTCCTCGAAGAAGCGGTAGCAAGCGTTCACGGCGGACATACCCTCGGGACACAACTGGTGCAGGTTCACCACACGGCCGAGCAAACACTGCAGGGCGCGCCCGTGGAGCTTGCCCTTCCTCAGCAGAGCATGCCCAGCCATGTGGGCCCGCCAAACGCGACGAGGCACGTGCCGTAGCCGCCGCTCTCGCCAATGGTAAACCAACCCCAGCGACTGCATCTCGCACTCGTCGCCAGGCTCCATGTCGAAAGGTATACGATCCTCACTAACACTCCTCTCCATCTCTTGCATCTGCTTCCTGGCGTCGTCCGCGCAGCCTCCGATGACCTGCGCGGCGTCCATGTGGGCGGCGGCCACGCACTTGCCGAGCTTCAAAACTGGTGCTGGCTGCATCTCGCGCATGATATGATCGGCCCCGCCCTCGAAAGACCGCTCGACTCGGCATGTGACAGCCTCGCTCGCGAAGTGCAGCGCCCACGACCAGCCCGTGCAAACAGCTGCCATGCACGGGTAGAGCACCTCGCCGTACTCGACCTGGGTATCGGCCCCCTCGGCGTCGCCCCAGATCGCGGTCGGCCTGTACTCCGTGTTCTCGAGCTCTTCGGCGCCGAAGCGGTCCTCAAAGCCGAACCAGGAGGCGAGCTCGGGGATGGTGTACTTGTAGAAGCAGCGCCCCGCGTCGCCCTCCAGCCCGGAGGGATACGCCGCGGACCCCGACCCGATGCCGCCGAAGCAAAAGGCTTTCAGACGAGGGTCGGAGAGGTCCAGATCGCCCATGCACCGCGAGGAGCCAAGCCTGGTAGTAGGGGCCGGCCGATGCGCCCTGTTTTCCGCACGGGCGTCAATGATCAGTCTCTGGAGCCCGTCCTTCTTCTTGACCAAGCATATGCCCGCGCGCCCCTTCAGCCGCAGGCGCCAGGTCAGCGGGCCCTGCTGGGTCAGGCGCTGAAGCAGCCGCCCCCGCAGCTCTCGCGAGCGCCGAAGCACGGGGTCCAAATCCGCCGACCCTGTCGGCGTGTGTGAGGGGCTTTTCCGTTCGAGCCGTCATCTCCGTCATTCTTTGTACTCGTCGTCTCTGTCCTTCCCTTTCCCTGGGAGACCTCTTCCCCTGGGCTCCAGCCAAGCCGACCTTGAGCAACCTCGTAATCGAGTCGAAGGGAAGCCCCTTCCCTTTGATCCCTCCCCCGCCGGGAGGGGGGGGGGGTAGCGACCCCCCCCCCGGGTCAGATACGACGCCCCCCCCGGGACTCCTCTTCCCCTGGGCTCCAGCCAAGCCGACCTTGAGCAACCTCGTGGGCCTCCAGCAAAGCCGACCTATGAGCAACCTGGAATTGGAGGCGCAGGGGAGCCACCTTTCCTTTGATCCCCTCCCCGCCGGGAGGGGGGGGTGGGTGTCGACCCCCCCCCCCACCGGTGTCAGAAGATGCGACGCCCCCCCCCCCTGGGACTCTCTTCCCCTGGGACTCAGGCCAAGCCGACCTTGAGCAACCTCGTAATTGAGTCGAAGGGAAGCCCCTTCCCTTTGATCCCTCCCCCGCCGGGAGGGGGGGGGGGGTAGCGACCCCCCCCCCTGGGTCAGATACGACGCCCCCCCCTGGGACTCCTCTTCCCCTGGGCTCCAGCCAAGCCGACCTTGAGCAACCTCGTAATTGAGTCGAAGGGAAGCCCCTTCCCTTTGATCCCTCCCCCGCCGGGAGGGGGGGGGGGTCGACCCCCCCCCCGGGTCAGATACGACGCCCCCCCCTGGGACTCCTCTTCCCCTTGGGCTCCAGCCAAGCCGACCTGACCTTGCTCTTCTTGTCGTAAGGGAAGCCCCTTCCCGTTTGATCCCTCCTCCCGCCGGGAGGGGGGGGGGGGGGGGAGGTCGAACCCCCCCCCGGGTCGATACGACGCCCCCCCCCTGGGACGCCCTTTTCCCTGGGCTCCAGCCAAGCCGACCTTGAGCAACCTCGTAATTGAGTCGAAGGGAAGACCCTTCCCTTTGATCCTCCCACCGCCGGGTGGGGGGGGGGGGGTAGCGACCCCCCCCCCCGGGTCAGATACGACGCCCCCCCTGGGACTCCTCTTCCCCTGGGCTCCAGCCAAGCCGACCTTGAGTAACCTCGTAATTGAGTCGAAGGGAAGCCCCTTCCCTTTCATTCCTCCCCCGCCGGGAGGGGAGGGGGGGGTAGCGAGCCCCCCCCCCGGGTCAGATACGACGCCCCCCCCTGGGACTCCTCTTCCCCTGGGCTCCAGCCCAAGCCGACCTTGAAGCAACCTCGTAATGAGTCGAAGGGAAGCCCTTCCCTGTTGATCCCTCCCCCGCCGGCGAGGGGGGGGGGGGGGGGTCGACCCCCCCAACCCCCTCCGCCTCCACACGGGCAGAGCGGGAGCCCCCCCCTGGGACTCCTCTTCCCCTGGGCTCCAGCCAAGCCGACCTTGAGCAACCTCGTAATCTCTTGCTGCGCATTGCGAACAGGGTCGGCGGCGCCGGCCGTCAGGCCTTCGCAATATAGCGAGACACCCGCGCCCTCGGTCCGCTCCTTCTCAAGCTCCGCCGCGCCCATCTCAATCAAGCCGGCCGAGTGTCTGATGTAGCCGAGCGCCGCAGCAGGAAGTCCCCGTCGAAGCGGGCGCACGTGGACCTTCCTACGCAAGATCTTGACCATGTCGATATCGAAACTGGCCAAAATCTTGGGCTCCATGCCGCAGTGGTCTCTCGAGTCGAGGATATCCGATAGGGGCGACTCCTCTGCAAGGTCAGTTGGGCACTCTCCGTGCGCCTCGATCCGCTGGGCCACGTTCTGGAACATCCAGCGCGGCGCGGCGGTGGGCCGCATGCGACCCTCAGATGGAAGATCGCGCCCCTGGGCGCGACGCCAATTCAAGTTGGTGGCGGCAAGCTGTTCAGGGCCCGAACCGAATCAGAAACTTGCCGAAGCCGCCCATCACCACATGCATCGCCGAGGACAGAAGCATCGCGTGGCAAGGGGAAACAAAGGATCGCCGTGCTGCCGATCTCGCGCCCCGATCCACCAGACCTGGAGGTGGCGAGCCCTCGTCGCCGCTCGTCGCTGTCAGCTGCGGGGGGGTCCGTCGACGCCCGGGTTGCCGGCGCGGGCCCCCCCGCAACTCCGTGTGGCATCAGTAGTCCGCGCCGGCGCCGACCCCGGCGCCGGCCTCGCCCTCTTCGCCTTCTTCTTCTTGCCGAATGCGGCGTCGCCGTCGCCGTCCTTGCCCTAGCCCCCCTTGCGCGAGTGCCCCTGCTCCTCGCGGCAGTGGCGCCCCTGCTTCCAGATGGCGGCCCTCTCTGAGCCTGTCGGTAACCTAGGAGTTGAACTTGAACGTAGACGCACGACCCACGGCATTCACCAGTGTAGAGATCACGATGTCGAGGCCGCTGTAGTCGAGGTGCCGCGGATTGCGCTCCACGGCGATCTCAGTCTGCATCGCCCAGCGCACGATGAGCTCGGCGAGGACAGCATGGAGTGCATAAGCCGAATCACCTCGCACAAATTCCGATGGATGCGTTTGGCCGCCGAGCCCTCGCTGACTCCGCTAGCCGCTCCAGCTCTGCCTGGCTGGAGACCATGTTGCCAGGGCCCGAGGCCGCGCTGCCCAGAAACTCCGCCACGCTACGCACGCCAGACAAGGGGAAATTCGCCTGCTCAGCGTCGCACATCAAAGCGACCGCCTCGGAGAGCCGCGGGCCCCACTGGCCGGCCTCGACGAGGCGCTCCCCAAGGGTGCGGGCATCGCCCATGTCGGTCTTCATCGTCGTCTTCACATCTGGCATGGCGCTGACCGCGGTCTTCCGCGCAAAGAACTCCTCGCAATCCAGCGCCGTCGCGCCCTTGTTGTCGAAGCTGGTGCCCCAGGCGCCGTCCTCCACGATGCCCGCCTCCACGATCTCGCCGAACTTTGGGGGGCGGGGCTCGGCGATGATCGATGACCCAGGCCATCCTCTCGACCGCGTCGACCTGGCCCACGCCCAGGAGCTGGCCCATCATCTTCGCGCGGCTCCTGAAGACGGCCAGTGCAGCTCCCGACGCAGGGTCGCGGGCATAGACCTGATTCGCCACGTGCCCGGGGGGCGGCGCCCGCCACTCCAGCGCCTCGTGTCGGACGTCCAGCAGCATCACCCGGACCAGGTCATGGTCCGGGGTCAGGGCAATCCAAGTGCCCCCATCCGCGCGGAACAGCAGCACGCGGTGGTGCCAGAAGAGACCAGCCGGGTCATTCTCGTGGCGCGCAAGGATCTGGGGATCCGAAGTGTCGAGGTCGAATGTGTCAGCAATGACGTCGATGAACCAGCGCAGAATGCCGCCGTGGTCAGTGGGGCCGCGGCTCCAGCCTCGGGCGCGGGCGCGCCGCCGGGGGCGCCCCCCGCGGGCGCCCGGCCGCGGGCGCCGCGACGGCAGCGCCGGCAGGCGCCGCGCCAGAACCCCAGCACGCCGGCGCCAGAGAGGAGCAGCAGCCCCCCGCACAGCACGGCAACGAGCAGGCACCGCAGCGCCCAGACCCCCAGCTGAAGGCCGATGACCTCCGCCTGGCGGTCGATGGCGCGCCTCAGCTCCGCGTCGCAGGAGCAATGGCAGTCGTCCTCCGAGCCGCGGGCCAGCGGCGGAGGCGGGTGCCGGGCGGGCGCCGCTGGTGCTCTCCAGCTCCAGGGCCAGCAGGCGCCGATCGTCGCGCTCCAGGCGGCGACGAAGGCAGCCCAGGGCGAGAGCAGGCCATCCATGGGCCGCCGCGCCAGGGCCTTTTGGACTTGACCCACTGGTCCTCGCGATTCAAGCGAGCGGGCGAAGAGTGGCCAAGGGGTATTCACGTCTACGACTGTAACGTGTGTATAAATATACACACATGTGTGTATACACGGATACGAATACGTATGCGTATACACACGTGCATAGATGCATAGATCATAGTATACGTTTATAAGCATACAAACGCACAGCTATATATATATATATATATATATATTGAGATGTGTATGCGCAACTACACACAAGCGCACACATATGCATATACACACATACATACATACATATGTACGTACGAGTATAATAAAGAAAAAGATGCCACATGAGTACACATACAAAACATATACATACCTGTGCATACAATGCATATATAAGTATGCTAGATGGCAGGCCATTGTTCCAGAACGCCAGCCGTGGATGAGCCGCGAAGGCAGCAATTGCGTGCCCAATAGAATTTCAATTCGAATTGGAACTCGTGCGCACGGGCGACTAGTCATACAGACAGTGCTGAGCATTCAATCCACCAGTCTATGTTTGAGAACTTGGAAGGTGAAAAGAAGGCGGGTTGGGGTTCGCCGATAAACTGGACTATCAACGATTGCGGAGCGGATTTTGCAAAAAAGAAACGTGCACGTGCCAGTCGCGCCAGACCTGGGCGCGATTGGCGAAACCACGAATATTTGGCGACGCGCGCTCCACGCCACAAAAGGCGGCGATGGAAGTCGGCCGCTCCCATATAGCATCGCGCGAACACTGTCGATGTCAGATGGCAAGTCATTTTTTCCATAACGACAACCGAGGATGAGCCACGAGCGCATCACGTTCATATCCATTCGCAATGTAATTCACATGGTAGCGCGTGCGCAAGAGCGAACTATTCATACAGACAGTGCTGACGGTTAAGTCCCCAAACCCCAAATATTGTGATGGACGTGCGAGGCGCAGCTCATTATAAGAGAGACATGCGAGGCATAATCGTCCTGGGCAGCTGCGAGTGTTCGATTTATCGAAACCCAAGAGCCTGGGCGCATGCGAGCAGAAAAAATGAGGACAGGGCTGGGCAATCCTGGTCCAGAATTGGCCAAACTCGTTCTTACCCACGAATTGTTCGGGGACCCCCCCAACAAAAAAAACCTTCCGCTTTTCATCTTGCATGTTCGGACACTCGAACCCGGGAACTTGAAACGCAAGCATGGACGTGATATCTTGCCGCGGGGTCCAATGGCCACAGCAACTACACTGCCAGGCCAGAGAAGTCGAATCAACCGCTGAAGCTGTGAGTTCAGCCAAATTTGCAAAGTAACTGGGTTCTCAATCACGCGCTGCACGTCGTGCGACGCAGCTACCCTGGCGCGAGCTGATGCTCTTATCAATTGATTTCCGGTATGGACCTTTTGAGCGTCCTTGCTACCGAGCCCCTGGAAGCCATGCAGCCCGTCGCGGAAATCCCTGAAAGCGGGAGGAACAGAGCCCCCTCCTCGCCTTCCCCGAGACCAGAAGACACGCGGTATCCCCATCCACGCGAGCTTGTAATCGGGATGAGAGATGAGCTGCGTGAGGGCCTCGAATACTTTGGGTCGCAACGCGTTCTGGTCGGGCGAGTAATCGGTGTCAACAGCGTTGCATATGTTTCCGCACTTGGCCGCAGCGTGCGCAAA